GGGATGTCCCGGGGACCCCCGGGACAAATGTCCCGGGGACCCCCGGGACGTCCCCATGACACTTGTCCCGGGGAGCCCCGGGACACCCCGGGACACCCCCGGGACATGTCCCGGGGACCCCCGGGACAACCTATTAATATAAATTATCGAGACCATGCGGGCGCTGATTTCCCTCACGCGTCCCTACATTTTGGTGCCAGCGGGCTCGGCCCGGCAAGTCTTGATTCGTCAGTTTCGTGGTCGAGGACATGTTCGTTTTCACCGATTTCAATAGGAGTGGGTGCGAATCGTAGCCGCAGAAAAAAATCGGGATTGAAACTATAGCCCCGGAGAAAGTCGGAGGATCATTTCTGGAAAGCTTGCATTCCGACCGAAAAATCCGTTCGAGGCGGTCGATTTTCTGGAAAATGTTAATCTTTAGCTACCGTTGTTTTATTTGATTTTTACGTTTCCTTTAAGTGGAGCGAAGTTCTCCTACAAAACCTTGTGCGTTTACTCTGCAACATGTTGTTGTAAGTTTGCGTTTTCGTTTTTCGGTTTTTACTTTAGGATATTTTCGTTTGCGCACAAGGTTTTGGCCGAAACACGAAAATTCTCTCTTTTGATTTTGCACCTGGGCTGCATCTATGCCTTTTGCCAGACCTCCTATCTATCACGCAAGTCCTAGCGATCCTCGATATATTGCTGTGACGGAATTCCATAGATTTTCAGGTCCTGGTTTGTGTAGAAACCTTGAAATCCTGGAGCTCCATACGTTCTAGAATTTCCAGAAATCCTTCGAAGCTCAGAAATAGGCGTCTAAGCAACTAGAATCGCAGGTGGTCTGCAGCATCGCTGGAAGGTCCTGCTCAGTTACATCAGTTGCACGAAATGAATGTGCATAGATCGGGAATCGAATCTTGGCCTAACAATGTTAACACTGCCCAGGCAAGTCCGTGAAGTCCGTGATGCGGGTTCGGCTGCGCGGGACTCAGCTCAAAGCGCTTCAGTTACCTCTTCCAGCATAGCAATTCTCACATTTGAGTATTTCTTGGCCTGGATGGTATTTATGTCATACCATATGTAGCCAGAAAATTTGTGTCTGCTCGCTCACCAGGTGCCCTTGCTACTTGTATGTCAGTTCGATGGACTCTCAGTGGCCAGGAGCTTAAGCACAAGATGAGATTTGCTAGACGGCTCCCATACAAAAAACGACCGTTGTGCATCTGAGCAAATGCAGTTCGGACAGATGTGTTCACTTGCTGTCATGGCAGCGCCCTGAGTTCAAGATAATCACGCCAATCCTAGCATGACGAGCCGCTCCGGCGCCAGCAGCCAATGCTTCAACTTTCCCCTGAACGATGCCATGGAGAACATCGACGTGAACAGTGACGAGGAGGCTGACGTCATCGAGGTGAAGAGCTCCGACGACGACGAAAGGGTCGTACCACCAACCTTCCACGCCATGTGGGGGCCGCATATCGGCTTCGGCATCTGTGAAGGCAGCAACCAATTGCCCTGTTACTTCGGTTCCGCGGGCACACCTACGACCGCAGGACCAGATGGGCGCTGCGACCTGTGCAGCGCCGAAAGCTTGACAGCACTGCACGATGGAATGCCGCAAAGAGTGACTCACCTGCTTGCGGAACTTACCGGCAAACCTCTCCAGCATGCCTTGATTCGCATCGGAGAGGTTCTTGGCAGAGAAGCTCGCGAGGACTACGGTCGTCGTCGAGACCGAGCAGTTCGCAAGCGCCCTCGGCATGGAGAGCGCCCAGGCCCAGTGAGGAAGAAGCCATGCACTAGGAATAGGAGCTCTTGAGAGAATGATTCAATTTCAGGATTTGACGATAGTCGGGCGTGCGTAAGGCATGCGTCGATTTACGTCAGACCACGCCGAGAGTTGGCGCCCGTCCTGCTAGTTTAGCTGTTTTTCAAAGGCTGAGCATGCATGCATCATGGCCTGATGCGATCTCCATCGAACTTTGCTAATCCTGCGAAAAGAGGGCGCGAAACCTGCATGACTCGCTGTAACACCAGAAGGAATTCATGGATGGCCCAATTTGCTATTTCAACGGTTTCGTAGTCTCGAAATGGCTAATGATCACCTGTAGAATGTACACATCTTGGATCGATTGCCATGCCTGCAGAGTGCAAAGGCCGATTGCAGCATTCGGTCGCGCTACTGATCGTCATCCATGGAACCCAAAACCAGCTGTGCATGCATGAGAATCAGCTCAAGCTTGTGTTCAAAAGTTTTTGCTAGTCCGACTCGACCATGTCCCTGTTTGACGAGAGTGAGGCGAAGGAGCAGGCAACCGCAGAATCAGCCGCGGGCCGCAGGACAAAACTGTTCCCATGGGACTCCGTCGCCTCGCAGCTCTTCGAGCCGCATGGCGAGTCGGCTCTGGACAAGCTCAGCCTTCAGGATGTATGGGTCGCGGCTGCCAAGGGAAACAAAAAGGCAATGTACCATAGCCACCTCTGTGCCGATCAGGCACGAGACCCGTGGCACGTTGGTGCCGGAATATCGCTGACCGCGGCAAGCCTCCTCGCGGCAATCAAGCACTTTCATCAACCAGACATGAAGAAGCTAATCGTTCCTGCCGTGTATGAGAAGATCCAAACGGAACTGAAGGAGTTGGAGCCCACCCTGAACCTCTTGAATCTCGGCAAAGGTTCGCAGACCGCCAAGGACACTGGCAGCTTTCGGGCGGCCAAGCGTCAGAAGGCGACAGCAACCGGGGCCGATGGCATGACCGGGTCGCAGGAAGAGACCCTAGAGGCTGCCAAGAAGTTCTACAAGTGGTTGTCGTTGGAGAAGAGCCCGTTCCGCTCCCTTTTGTTTCTCCTGTCCGGCTCCAATTCGTATTATTCTGCGCACTGTGCCGAAGTGGTGGCACGGGCCGGTGTCCAGCACAAGCCGATCAGCGAGAAAGACTTTGTCGACGCAATGAAGGCTCGCGTGCAAAAAGTCCCGGAGCCGCCAACCAAGAGCGGCGGTACAGGATCTGATGCCACCGGCTTGTTTGATATCTAAGGCACGTCAGGTATGACAAGGCAGCCAGAGATCTGCAGACACCGTGCGTAAGTCACGGGACCGCATGATTCACTGTAGCTGGCATTCCCTTTTTCATTTGGACCAAACAGCTGCCCTTTGCTGAAAGGTAGTTCCGAGTAGGCCAGCTTTGTCCGAAAGGCCGCCACGGCCGCGGGGTTACGTGTGCAAGACACGGCCACGCGAAGCCAGAGGCCCTATACCAAGCAAGAATTTCAAACGGAATAGATTCCAGTACAATGGCAACTACGCGAAAATAAAGTCTGCATCGAGCAAACCTCTGGCCTTTCACGAGTTGGGACATGCAATTGTAGGTGTCAATGTGTTAGCTGAAGCTCCTGCATGCAGCAGCATTTCATGTCGAAGCTCCTGCAGGATTGTCTTCCATTCACTGCGTCCCACGCTTTTAATCATGGCCGCTAGCGGCGTCGGATTTGCGAACTTGGGAGCGTCCTGCTTCATCAACGCGGGGCTGCAGGTCATATTCTCAGTGCCACGGCTTTGCCAGGCCATCGAGACAGGCACCTCCGAGACAGAGCAAGCCCTGCAGACGGTGCTTGGCCTCGTCCGACATGCACAGGGGAGAGTCATGCCAAAACCGATCACTGACATGTTCTACGCAGGAAGACAGCAAGATGCAGGCGAGTTCATTCTCAGAGTCTTGGCAGACTGTGGCGCCACCCATCATCTGCTCGGCGGTGAAGAAGCTCCTCGGTTTCGCTGTCGACACTGCGACTACATTCGACCTTTGCGTATGGAAAGAATTTTGTCTTTGCAGGTACCACTCATGGCAGCAACTCCAGCAAGATCTGTGCAGCAAGCACTTGATGCATACCTGGCCGCCGAGCACGTGCAAGCCGATGTGCAGAATTGGTGCTGCCTGAACTTTGACTGCCTCGACGCCGGCAGGGCTTTTGATGACCCCCTGCACACGACCAACATCAGTGTTTGGCCAGAAGTATTGTTGCTATTCCTAAAGCGGTGGGATGCAGCGCACGGTCTTCTGAACCACCAGGTGCACTGCAACGACATCCTCACCGCCGGAGCGCATCGCTACAAGTTGCAGTCTCTCGCGACCCACATCGGCCCAACTCCAACCTCGGGCCACTATGTGGCATACTGTCGTTGCAACTCTGGATTTCTGAGGATGGACGATGACAAGGTCAGGATGATTGCTGCCAACACAACCGACTCTTTTGCCATAGTTCCGGACGAGAAAGTCTACGTTGCGCTGTACGTGAAGTACATCCCATCCAGCGAGGAAGAAGATCCTGAATACCCCGGCGACAGTCCGAGACCGCCAGCAGTGAAGAGGCCGGCCATCGACCTGGACAGCGACTCGGATCTGCTTAACAACGAGAACCCGGACCTCGACATTGACTCCGACGTCCTCCCTGTCTCGGATGAACACCCGAACATTGCTGCTGCCTCCAAGATGACCACGGCTGGGAATGGTGAGGCGTCCGTTGGCGTGACCAACGTCCCGGATCCCAAGCATCGAGCTCGGGTAGTCATTGACCTCACGGATAGCGAGCATTCGTCGGACGGAACCGTCCCGACGGTTCCGCCAAGTTTGCCTCAGCAAGATGAACGTACAGGGAAACCAAAACGGCTCCAGAACTTCGCCGAGTACACAGCAGAGGAACGCCAGCAGATTGCCGAGATTCTCCGCAACAGCACCACCTTGGAGAATGCCATCGCGCAATTGCAGCAGGCGCTCTCCCAATTCACAGCTCGAGATAAGTCTTCCTCAACCTACTTGTCACGCAGGCTGCTGAAGAATTGGTTCAACAACCATCATGCGCTTCAAAAAGCCTTGACAAGTTGTGCTCCTGCTGCAAAACCACAACCCTCCAGTTTCAAAGCAAGATTTGGAACTGCTCGTGCCGGTCTCGATGATGAGACCCTGAGGATAGTGGAGGTTGCCTTGCAAAACGCGCAAACAGCAGCCGAGCTGGAGCGTTTGCTGGCCAACACACTACCTGGCTTCAGCGCAACGGACAGGACCGCCGAGCACTACATTGCCCGGGGTACCCTGTACAGCTGGCATATGAGAAAGGATCCGTCAGCCAGCAATCCATCGCCAAGGCTGCCTGCCACATGGCATGAGGAACACCAGCAGAACTTTGCCATCGCTTGCCAGCTGCCCGCCCCGAGACCAGCGGCCTCAGTGGCAGCAAACGACACGAGCGGACAGTGGCTGCTGCGTGGTTCGTGGACATTCTGTGCCCGTTGCGGGCGCCGCAGGCCCCGCGCAAAGACGCCATCCCTGGCCAAAGCCTACAATCCGGCTGTAATGTGCGTCCCAGTGTGCGACCATGATGCCCGAGATCTACTGGCACCTCTGCAGACCAAGCTCATTGTCATCAACAAATTGGAAGGATACATCATGCCTGCGTTCACGCATTGGCAGCCTTGGGCAACATACATTCGAAGCGGCGAGGTGTCATTGGCCGGGCTGCTTTCCCACGATGATCTTCAGACCCTGGCGGTCCTAGACATCAAGATCGAATTCCGCGCTAGACGAGGAGGCAACGCAGCAATATGCAGCAAGCAGAAGAGAACAGTCGTAAGAGCAAGATGGCGCAGCTGCTCGCTGATGACAGCAGTTCGCAGCAACGAGGCCTCTCGAGCCTTTCAGTGGTTGCTGGCAAACAACAGCACCTATGCCGATTACGTGCAGCAACATGAAAACTTGCTCACAGACAACAACCAAGACGAGACCTGGCGCGAAGTGCCCACCGCCAAGCTGCTGCTCCAGATGCCCGGCATCGAGATCGCAACAAGACCATGGCTATATCCCATCGCAAGCTACGCAGACACGGACATCGCAAAACGGCTGACAACATTGGGATGGATTTCTAGCTCACAGAAACCCAGCACCCGAGCCTCGTTCTTCAGGAAAATGAACAGCCGTTGCATCGATTATGTGAAGGACTTTCCTCTCCAGTGTCTGATGTACGATGTGTGTATGGCCAAGACGATATCTTCCGTACTGAATATCGCCAATCAGAAGCACACAGCTCCTGAACAAATTGCCTGCGGCATGGACATGTTCGAAGGCTATTGGCACCAACAGCTCAGAAAAATGGAGGATATATGCCGCCAGGAGTTCGAAACGTCCGGCAACATGTGCGACGCTCTGCCAAGCATCTTCTTCACAATTGCGCCGGCGGAGTGGAAATACACACTCCCGGACGGTGTTTTCTTTGACGACTCCCTCAGCGATCAACAGGCATTGCTGACGATGCACTTGCATCGCACTCTGGCAAGCCTCCTTGAAATCCATTTGCTGAAGGAAGGTCGCAGCCTCAAGGAAATCGGCATCGCCAAGATCCGCCAGTGGAGCTTTCGATTCGAGTTTCAATCACGCGGAACTCTTCATCTGCACGCAGTTCTGTGGGCTGACTTGATGGAGAACTGGACAGCAGATGATCTCTGTGGACGAAGCAACTCTGACAAAAGCAGCCCTTTCTTGCGGCTACTCGAGAGGCTCTTCAATTCAAGGGCTGACGTCCAGTGTGGAGACGGCACACACGTCCTGTTGAAGTATGTCGCAGGGTACCTGGCAAAGGCATCGGATGCACTCCAATTCCAAGCGAAGCAAGCCCAACACGATGGTAAGCTCGGCGGAGAATGGCGCCAGACATATAGACTCTTGTCAAAGCGTTCGCCGATGGAGCAGGAAATGACAATGGAGTTTGCAGGGCTGCCCATGGTGAAACACTCATTCTCGGGCCTGGCCATCTTTGCGCCAATCCCGGGCAGCACAGCCAAGAACGATTCTCGTCATCATTATGAGGCGTATCAGCACTACTTGAGCGCATCAAAGGACACCTTCGGCTGCTCTCGCGACCTGACCTACATCCAGTGGCTACGCAAGTATCGCTTGGCAGACACCAAGCATGGCAAATATCCAGTTCTGGCTCGCAATCTAGCTGGACCTGCAGCAGGAAAAGCTTGCGGGGTCGCTGTAACCTTTCCCTTCGAGCTTCTCGACATCTACGTGGGCGCTTGGGCTGCTTCCTGCCTGAAGAACGTGCTGGAAATTCGCCTTAATCCACACATCGCAGATGTCAACAAGTATCCGAGCAGTCACGCCAACGAGCTGGCGCGTCGCAATTCATTCGAAGCACCCGAAGGCTGCCGTCACCTCAAGGCCGTTCTGTGCTTGGATGAGTTCCAGTTGGAGCATGCTCGAGAGGATCACTTCGAGCCGGACGTAGGAAATCTACTGGCCCAAATGGAAACGGAGCTGTTGTTCCGAGGCCTTGGTCAAGATCGAGTTGCCACCTTCAAAGCCAGACTGCACGCTTGTACTTTCCTGCTCAAGAAAATCTATAGCGGCGAGGAAGATGCTGGGTTGTGGAATGCAAGGAGAGTTCCGCATTTGCCTGCCCGCCAGTGGTCCACAGAACAGGAAACGGTGCTCAACTACATCCGTAGAGGCACCTGCGTCAGCGACGCTGCCGAGACAGAAGCCAGCTCGCGTATTCTCCAGGTCAGTGGTGGCCCCGGCACGGGCAAGACAGAAGTTGTCATTGCGGCTGCAAAGGCTGCCCTGGACGACGGGTGCCGTGTGCTCATCGCGGGCCCCATCGGCCTGCTCGTTTCTATGTATAGGCAGGTCTTTCAAAAACATGTCCATAGTATTTGCATTATTGTTTGACACTCTACTTGCTGTAGGTTGCGCCTGCCAGCCAACGACAACCTCACCATGGAAACCATACATTCAGCGTTCCATATCACTCGCGAAGCTGACGAACCATACATTCCACCTGGCCGCCTGCGAAGATTCGATCTCATCATACTCGACGAGATCAGCCAGATCGACTCGGACACCTGGAGAAAGCTAAAGGTAGCCTTGTCGGAGCTGACGCCCTGCCCCTATGTTGTCTTCGTGGGCGACTTCCAGCAGCTACAACCCATCTCAGGTCCGTCCTTGCTGCAAAAAGATCTGGGGCGTGAGGTCACGGCTGGCTTGCCTCTGATAGAGTTAAAGCACCACGAAGCAGCTCGCTCTGTAGACCCAGACATGCTGCTGTTCTTGGAGAGAGCACGACTTCAACAACCCTCCAGAGCAGAGCTGCAATCTTTCTTCCACGGGCGGACATGGTCATCAGATTTGGCAGCAGCAGTACAAAATGCAAGAACGCTAGAGGAGCAGAACAACAAGCCGTTCACCTTCCTCACCATCACAAATCGAGGAGCTGCAGCCGTGAATCTTGCAAGACTGCAGCAAGAGTTCCCGCGTGAAGCTCAACAGCTAGCACAAGGCAGGGGCATCCCAGCAGAGACTGGAAAAGTGGTGCTGGCCCCTGGTATGCGCATTCGCCTTACAAGCAATGTGGACAAGGACAGAGGTTTCGTGAACGGCAACACCGGAGTGGTTCGTAATGTCCTGCAACCAGATGTGTTCGTTCTCCAAAGCTCCCAGAATGTGCTTATCCTTGTGCATCCGATCACGGTGAAGGGCTACAAATACCTTCCGGTCGCCTATGGCTGGGCGACCACTATGAGGCGAGCGCAAGGCGCAACGTTAGATCAGATCGGACTCTGGTTTGATAGAAGGGTCGCCGATCGTGGGTACGCCTACGTGGGCGCGTCCCGAGCTAAGCGCCGTGCAGACGTTTATCTCATGGGCCGAGTGCGCCGGACAGACTGGCGGCCAGTGGGACTGGGCGATCCAAACGAACAACAATTCCCGTCAGCGATGAGCGAGAGCACAGACCCGGAGGATGAGCAGTCAAGAAGCCCGACATCAGCAAGCTCGGAATGCTCAGAAGAACCGGACTCCAGTGACTTCAGCTCTCTCAGTGCAAGCCCAATGTAGCTTGCTTGTCTTTACAAGGTTCGAGCATGAAGCTCCGAACGTAAAGTGAATGATGACCGTGCCTCTTTTCCCCCGGACATGTCTTGGGAGCACTCTGTGGCATACGTAGACAGGACACGTGAGTCACATAACACCCTCAGATTGCCTAGTGGCAGACATGTCCGGCGTGCCGCCTGCAGAAGACATGCGCTACCATAACTTGAGTTCTATGTTTGCCATTGAAGAATTTCCTTGAGTCGATCGAGCACGTGTGCAATACACATGCCGATCGAAAGCTACAAATGCAGCAAGCTGCTTGACAAAACCTTGCAGTTTATCATGCAGGCAATGTTAACATTTCAGAAGTTGCAAGCAGCGCTGCCAAGGCTCCAGTTCATGATGGAGAGACCAGGATCGTGTGATCCCTGGCTGTTGCACCATTGTGCTCTTCCCCTTAGTACCAATATCATTCATGTCAAGTCGTGTCGTGCCGAGGTGTCATCCAGGAACAGCTGCTATACCATCAGCACCTCAACTCTGCTGCAATCTTCGCAGTCCCCGGCTCCCTGGGATCCAGTGCAACAGCTACAGCACCCTGATATGTGCTCAGGTTGCTCGAACAAACCAGACACAGCCAAGGCCTCAGTCCAAGTTTCCTCTGCGTTATTTGCCTTGCACACCCCACCCTAGATCCGATTCGCTAGGGTTCGCAATTGCCCTTCCCCACCCCACCCTAGATCCAGCTAACCGAACCTTTTACTTGAAGGCTCCAGCTTCCCCACCCCACCTTAGATCCGACTCCCTAGAGTGCTCACTTGCCCTTCCCCACCCCACCCTAGATCCAGCTAACCGGACCTTTTACTTAAAGGCACAAGCCTATAGACCCGGATACCAGAACCCTGTGATTTTATGACCTTGCTAACGACAGCGGATGAAATAGCCCACAGCTGTAAGCCTTGAACCATAGACTCTAAGCCCTGAGCTCTAGACTCGGAGCCCTGAACCCTAAACTTTAAGCACTGAACCCTGGACTCTAAGCCGTGAACCTTAAACTGTAAGCCTTGAACCCTGAACCCTCAACCCTAAGCCCGCAGCCCTGAACCCTAGGCCTGAACCTCAGGGTTCCAGCCTACCTTGCCCACAGAGGACCTTGCCCACAGAAGAAATGACTTTGCCCACAGATTTTATGACCTTGCCCACAGATCAATTAAAATTTAAATTACTATATGAAAGAGAGGTTAAGGGTTAAGGGTTTAGGGTTAAGGATTTAGGGTTAAGGGTTAAGGGTTTCGGGTCTAGGGTTTGGAGCCTAAATAACGCGCAGGATGGAGAACCAAACGGAAAAGACAATGGCGCATGCTGTGTTTCTACAGGGGTGTATCCGAGGATACAAAGTATCTTCTAAAGGGTTCAAATAGGTTTAGTGGGCGCATGCTTATTTATATGCATATTCATATAATTTTGTACTATGGCTATATGGAGGTTATGAGGGAGGCATACTAGATACCACACTTCTAAGGGTTTAGGATTTAGGATATGTGTTTTCAGACTTGTCGGGTTCAGATTTTGCTGGAGGGATGCGGGGATTTCTCAAGAAGGGGGTGTCAAGAGACCTGAAGGATGTTCAGGGTTTTTGAGGAGACCTTAGTCCCGGAGAATCGTTTGAAAAACGTGGATGTGCAGGTTCTGCAATTTACCCTAAACCCTGGATCCTACACCCCAAACCTTGCGTAAAACAGCAATTTGGGGCTTCAAGGAAAGTAGGACCTTCAAAACCTTGCCCAGACATGGAGCCTAATCCCGCCCCAGCAAATGTGAAGCCCCAAAATAGTACAGTACGCGTTCCCACTTTAACCATATTATACTATGATCTGATGGGACTGTGAATTACTTGGAGGGCGGGAGTTGTCTGAATCAATTTCCACTGGAACTGCGGATTCATGGTTGTTTTTTGGGCGGAGTGGGTGGAGTCCAAAGCACATTCCAATGACTCGTCCACCTCGACACTGGGGTATAGAGTTTCGGGATTAGGATTTAGGGTTTAGGGCTCAGCTTCGAAAGAAGTTACCATGTGGACTAATCTCCTTATCACCATCCCTACATAATCCCTATATGCCTATAGAACCCCTATAACTGTTCAGGTTCGGGGCAGCAGGTTTAAGGACCAGGGGTTAAGTTAGAGAGCGCAGTCTAAGGGCCCCTTGAGAATGTAAGAAATATATGGGGGCTATATAGAGGGGGTATGTCGCGGAAGCCTTCTACGGGTCCAGGCTTGAGGGCCCAACCCGACACCTTAGTTGAGGGCTGCTGAAGAATTTGGGATCGCACGGTCTCTGAAGGGACTACATAATCAGAACAACCAAAATCGTGTCCAACGTGCCCACCGCAGACCGTCCGAAACCTGTAGAGTCAGAGGCCGCGCAATCATTCGAAGACTTGGAAATTCTGTCATATTCGGTCTGAGTGAGCTCCAAAATTGGCAGGGCTTCTTCTTTTCACTTTTCACTAGCTAGAAGAATCTTGGATGTGGGACCTTCCATGTAGCTACAAGAGCTTTAGTGGAAACCCGTTACCCGTGAGCCAACGCCCGGCTGCTTGCCGCCAATGGACCACAGGGGAGACCGGCTTTGCAACTGTTGCACCTGAAGCATTGGAACTTCAAGTAGGACACAGATCTTAAAAAATCAATGCTGCGCAGTGTAGACGATACTCGAAAGAGAGTTGGTATAACTTGAGAGAGCTACATTTTTCATTTCTTGCTTACTACTGGAGCTTGCGGTTTCTTAGCGATGGAAAGCTCGCCTGCCTGCCCCTACATCCAGCCTTGCGTACACGTCACTAAGGCGAGCTTTGCAGGTAGGGCATCACCCAAAGGGTCCAAGTACCAAAATAATGGGTAAAACTACCTATGTAGGAATCCATTTAGGCCCAAGAAAATGTGCCATTTGAGGACCTGGAACCTTAGGTCATGCATCTGTGCTGTTTACAGGGCTCAGGCTCTCAGGCTTAGCACTCGTTCAGGCTTCAGCTGCAGTGGCAAAATTCAGGGGTAGAATATGGCCCTTCAGCTAGTAAGTTCAGCTTAATAACTGTTCATATTACAATTCCTGCGCGACCTTTGGCACTAAGGCCCCAAAATTCCCAAGGTTTGGGGTACCTAGAGTCATGCACGATGTGTAATATCCACCGCCTCACTACTGCTGCTACTGCCATTACTGCTTCTTTCACTATGATAGCTCTTACTCCCATTAACTACTACCAGTATGAGCTACTGTCTCACTGCAGGCTCCCACTCCCACGCTTGACAGAAGCAGAGGGTTTAGGGTTAAAGTTGTGATTTGAGGGGGAAGGGTGTAGGGTTGAGGGTTTAGGCCGAAGCCTTCAGGTGTGTAGGATTCACGGTTTAAGCGTTGGTTAAGCACTAACAGGAAGTCTCTCTGTGCAAGACACAGTCTGAAGCTTGTCATCGCTGGGTTCGGCTTGGTTTCAAGTATTTCGCACCTAAAATCCCAAGATGAGCAAGCTGCCCAACAGAACATACATCGATGCATCACCGCTAAATGCTGTTGCAAAACCTTCCAAGACCAACTGATCCATAGTCTGAACTCCTGGCATCCCCCGTAATAACTCCTACAAATCAGGAGTTTAGATCTTGGCTCAACTGAAGGTCATGCTGGCTTCAAGACTTTTTCGCTTTGCATGACTGCCGCCCAGTCTGAGTTGGAGCAGCCAGTTTAAGAAAGTCTCACACCCAATATACTCTGATCCTGGCCATAGGCACCTCAAAAAAGAGCCCCTGACCTTGGGAAACTCCAATCCTACAGACCACTTTTGTATAAATAATGGTCCACTTGCTTTTCCATTGGATTCTCCTCTATCCGGTGTTACTCAAATCCTCTTATGTAAGCCCTCGTCCCTATGTGTTCTCTACACCTCCACATAATGAGTATATTCCGCATACACACCCTATATCCTCCTAAAGCGCCCCAAATGTTGGACCCCCTAAACCCTAAACCCTGAACCCCTAAACCCTAAACCCTAAACCCTAAACCCCGCCCCCTATGTAACCGTGGGCTCTTCGCCTTGACCATCCTTCATCGCCAGCGGATTGGTTTGCTGGATCTTCTTGGCCTCGGCGTGTTCAGAGTTTGGGTGTTATTAGAGTAGTCCTTTAGCCCTCGGTGCTTGACTTCGTGTTTTAAAGCATGCTTGCGCTACCTTAAGGGGTTAAGGGTTGTGCAGTGGTCGGATTAGGCAGAGGCACACCAAACACACTAATTACCGGCTTTGCCACTTTCTTGGTAGGATTGAGGAGCTGAGCTTCAAAGGGATCAGACACCAGCAGGCTGCAACAAGGGAACCTCTGGTGAGTCAGTCACAATCAGTGTCCCCTACATAGCTCCACCCCAAACCTTCGGAGGACCAGTATGGTAGGTGTAGGGTACTCTTCTGAGAGCAATGTCCGCCAAAAGTAGTTGCAGACCCTTAAGATAGGGGTTGCTCTTATGGACCATAGGGAAATCGAGGATCATGAGGAGTTGGCAGCTGTACCCTCAAGCAGTATGCGAATTTAAAGATCACGCATCCATACATCCCCCTAGGGATCCAAATTGGCCAATGTTGATGATATTTACAGACTTTAGGGCCCAATGTAGGCATTATTTGTATACTTGGCTCCCTAGGGTCCTTCCTGGCAGCACTGACCTGCTTCAAGGGTTTAGGGTTTAAGGTGTAGGGTTATGGTTCAGGGTTTAGGGTTCAGGGTCGCACCACTCAGCAAAACCTTCAGCTCATAATTGCGAATGTTAGCTGAGACCCTCCGACTACCCTCTATCAAGGCCTAAGTACTCACTATCACACCCCCGATATCCCCAATTAAGGGTACAAGGACCTCAGCAAGCCATTCCTTCTTTCGCTTCCGCTGTTTGCGGAGGAAACTTGACAAGTCCTGGAAAGCGAATCCTATCAACTCCCGGCCAGAGACCTGTACAAGCTGTTTTGCTGCGGCCTTGAGATAAATC